TGAATCACAAGGACGAGAGAGATGTTCCAATAAAAACCTTTTATTGTTTCTATCATGGTTTTATTTTAATGCCCTGAGTGGTTTCCCCTGCTACTAAAAGTGAACTGAATATCACATAATTTGTCTGTACAGCTTGTCTTGAAGAGAACTTGCAGTGAAACAGCTTTTACTGTGTGATGGGAGAGTGCCTGGGTCTTAGCAAACATAGAAAGAAGATTAGTAATTGTTAAGATCAAGCACTGGGTCTTTCTCAGTCTTGATCCTCTGCAAATACTTTATTTTTTCTAACTAGCTTCCTTTATGTTACAACTGCCACGTGAGGAACATGGCAGGAAAGACTCTGAAGATATTTGTAAGACTAACAACAACTACAGTGTTTCAGACTTGGAGGCACTGCCACAAAGCAAACAGAAACCCAAAGCCTTTACGCCAGAATGCCATCATTCCTCTGTATCTAAACTCATTGCAATAAACATCAAACAAACTGGCCTGAGGAGACCTCTGCTATTCACCACTGCCTTGTCATCTTTTTTTTTTTTTTAGCTCCTTCAGAGAGACCAGCATTTAATGGGGACATCATAGTGACCGTTTGGTGACGGCTGGGAAATTTAAAAAAGAAAAATAATATCTCGGGTATCAACTGCTCCTCAGAGTGGAAACAGCCCAAATTTATTATATATATATTCCTGTAAAAACAGCTTGAGAACATTTGGTAGATCACCGAATAAGACAAAGCAAGCTCCTCGTGGTCTTATTTCACATTTAAGAAGAATACAACTCATTTTGCGTCAATGATTTTTATTTTAAGTAAAATTCAGCAAACAAAATGACTGTTTCTGTCATGTTTGAGGTTTGAAGTTTCAGTTCTTTTTTTACGAGGAGTTCTGAATATAGCAGCTTTGCAAACACAGCATGTGGAAAGAAAGCAAAGTAGGCTGAGGAAAATGATGGCCAATACCATTCACAGAACTGCCAGTGGATACAAACAGCAGAATGCATAGGACCGGAACACTGAAAGAAAAAAAGATGTGATGAACTTCAACTTAAGAGTATTGAGCAAGGAAAACACGTTTTGGGCTTAAATCTTTTGCTTGTCAGTGCAAACAGGTCAAAAGGAATTCATGCGAATCACCTGGGACAACAGTGTAGACAGTGGTTGTCTCTAAGACTAGAAAATTAATTCTCTTTCCTTTTTTAGTTCTCTGACAGGTTGCTGCAGGAAATTTGGAATAAATTTAAAATTATGAGGAAGAGAACTGCACAATGAGTAGGTGGCACAAACACTTTGCTAACGGGCACAGATTGGAACTACAGATGTGCAAACTGTGATTCAAATTCACTTGAGTTGCAAAAGAACTGCACAAGGCCTGACCACACAAGAAAGCCTTGGTCACCTGATGGAGAGGACAGTTCATTGAGAAAGGTAATAATTTGTCCAGCTGTGACTTTGGTGGCCTGGATCCTGCACTGACCCATAAAGTCAGGGAAAATACTGATTTTTGCAATAGTTGGCTATCTTCAGTTACTGTCATCTGCCTCTCTCTGGGAGAGGCAGTCTCTTCTAGATAAGGACTTCTCTAATAAACACTTCTGAATCATCTACCCATGGCCAACACTGATCTCAGGGGGAATGGATGGTGCAGTGGTATATCACTGGTGAGTATCTCACAGCCTAGCTAGCGAGTTACATAAATGTGTAGATAAACGTGTCCAGTCCTTCCTCAGGCATGACTCTTGTGCATCCTGTAAAATGGCAAGTTAATGATAAGATTTTCCATAAAAGGTGGGAGTAGCTGAAATCATCTTTTGGCAAGAAGCAAGGTTTTCATGGTTTGGGTTGTTCTGCTTTTTGCTTTTATTAAGTTCCCTTCTGATGGTTTTAAGGTGCCT